TTAAATTAAATGATATTTATTTTTAAGACCGTATTAAATTAAATAATACATTCATGAGAATATGAGGAACTTATTAAATAAAATAATCAGGGAATAATTGAAAAATCAACACACACACACACACACACACACTCACCAATATTGACAGAGTCCTCCCAGTCATCCAGCGTCTCTGTGACCGTCAGCACATACACGTACGTCCGGTGTTTCCGGTCCTGGTTCTGCTGTTGTTGAAAAATAAACTATATCAGTATGAGGGAATGTAATCACATCATCTCATGATACATCAATTCAGGAGTCCAAACCGTCCAATCAGGAGAGCCGTACCTCAAACACGCCGAGCAAACGTCCTAATTTACCCTTCACACCAGCCTGAGGGAGAGAGATAGGATCAAATCCACAACAATCCTTCATTTAGACATGAGATTCCCAGAAGTCTGGCAAATATCATCAAATTCTTCACCTCACTGAATGTGAACATCAATAAAAAAAAAAAGCGTGTGCTAAGTGAGTACCGGCTGGTAAATGTAAGGCTGTGTGCCCGTGATGTGAAATGACAGTGGTGTGTTGTCGCACCTCCTCAAAGACCTCCCGAACCGCGGCTCCACACGGCTCCTCCTCCGGCTCCATTCCTCCTCCGGGAACGATCCACTGATCCGGGTTTCTGCTGCTGCTGACCAACAACACCTGCGGGAAGCAGAACAGGCCCAGTCTCAGACAACACACGTTGGCAGATGTTGGCACAATACAGTATGTGGGGTACAATACAGTAATCAAAGTGTGATTTTTCTGATTAAAATGTGATAAAAAATAAAAATAAAACAGGTTTGCTGTGCTTGTTTGTAGGTCTGCACAATTTCACAATATTTATTTATCAATATGAGTGTTGTCAATAATCAAAATATTGTTAGTCGTTTTATTTATAAAATTGTTATGTGCTTTTGTCAATTTTATTAGTTTTGTTCTTTTATATATGACCATTTCCCTTAAATTTATTATTATATCAGTTTTTATTTATTTCCAGTTAGTCATTTTTGTGCTTCAAACTTTAGCTTTTCATATTTTATTTCAGCTTTATTTTAATTAACATAAACGTTTTCCAAATTGACACAAAATTCTAACAAAGTACACTGTTATGTGCAGATATTATGTACAATAACATTCTAACCTATAGATTAACACAAATAATGGTGTGGGAAAAAATAATATTTAATCTTTTTTTTAAAGTTGGGGTTAGGGTTCAATTATTGCTGTATATTTAAAATAATAAATAAAGGGTCTCTATTTATAATAATATAATCATTAAAAAAGGGTAACAATAAGTGACTTCTGACAGATGGACGCAGCAGAACTGCAATCTTGCTCTCTGATTGGCCCTCAGGTGTGTCCTGCACTAGAGGATTGTGGGATTGATGGTGCGTGTGATGTTCATGACACTTCTTGTCCCCTGGCATGTTCTGGGCCAGGCTGGGGTTATTTCTACAAGGTCTCCTTTCTCAAAGAGAACCACAGGAGTTTGTGTCACAGAAACGACAAAGGAAAGCTTTGATTTTTAAGGTTGTGTGTTCAGAGTTCTTCTGTTTGCGTCGCTCAAACGCACAGTTGTTTTCTTGAAACATGTCGGTCCAGTTCTGGTTTCCCAGGGTCCGTCACACATGACCATCAGCTTAAGCTTGTTCTCAAACACTCAATCAACAAAACAACGACGACCTGTGTATTCCTGTAACTACGTGATGAAGTACAGTACCATACAGTTTAGGAAAAATGGATGACAAAGAAACCTCTTGTACAAACAGGTTTGAGAATAACTCAACCACAACCTGTAATTTACACTCCCATAATTCCACCCTGCTGAAAACACGTCCATATATCACCTTTGACCCCAAAATACCAGGAATAAAACAAGGATAATGCGCAGACAGCCAGGCATGATTGCAGTGTGACGCTCAAAGGGGTTTCGTTCACTTATTCCATGGTGGTTTACCAGAGAAATAAACAAGTTAAACTAGACAGCTGTGTAAAATTAGATTATATGGTGCATATATATAATGCATAAAACCTAGTTATAAGTACATTAAGAATAACATAATGGCATTATGTCTATGCCAAATAAGTACATTTTCAAATTCTCATTACTGTAATGCCTTTTCTAATCCTCAAAGGTGAGTCTAATTACTATTCTCACTTTTTACAAAAAGCAATCAGAGTAAATTAAAGCTAGTGAAACAAACACTGCCGGCGTGCTGTATGAATTATTCACAGTTCAAATGATATATCATTGGGAGTTTTTTCCACATTCTTCACCTTGACAACATGAAATCAAAATGGACCCTTTTCACGTTTTCATTCGGTCCGCTGACAGCGTTTTACGACTTTCTTTAAATAGAGAGAATGATTATGTTGGAAAGATGTCAAAATGATCCATCACTCCCTCAGCTGTTGTGTTAGAAACACTCGTTTTGTCTAATTTAATGCCTAATATAACACAAAGCATAGGTTT